AGTAGGAAGATGTGGATTTATTTTCTCTCACCTTGTAATCACAATCAAACAATCTATAATTTAGCTCTGGCCTTGACTCAAAAAAAAACATTTTGTTGAATTGGACACATTTTTTGAAGCTCTATTGACTGACATGCAATGACTGGGACTGATGGAAGAATCTGAGAGGAATGAACTATAGGAGCAGAGAAATAATTCTATTTAAAAGACAACAGCTTCATAAGAGGCCAACAAGAGTCACAAGGGTTGTCACTTTGCTGAAGGATAGTTGTGACCAGCTATCCAGGCCAGACTCTAAAGACTTTCCAAGGGGTAAAAATGCTGCTACTGGAGTACTGACTGGAAGTATTGCTGATATCATGTCTACCATATCCTCTTAAAATACTCTGTCCAGCAATATCAGTCTCAGGAAGAAAGGTGTTTTAACGCTTATTCAAAATAGCAAAGAAACATGCATTCTTGTACTCAAGAGAGAACATTGACAGAGGATTACTCAAAAAGTACACAGTAAAGGTACTTGTGGGAGTTGTTTCACTCAAGAAGAGCTAATGGCAGAAAAAATAATAACAAACTCGAGAGACGGCTGAGTTGACCGCAGTGCAGAATCGCTGCATAGTTTAAATCTCCTTACAATGTTGTCCATTTTAGATACAGGCTTATTATATTTACAGCCCGTAATAACATTCATTTTCTGGGCTCAATATGTGTCTTGGCTGTTTTCGTTGTGATCTCTAAATTCACCTTTTTTATAATATTATCACAGTTCCAAGAACACTAGTGCTTTTGTTTTGAAATCACTTGAGTTTCGCCCGCCCCTCGCTCCAATGACCATTTGACCATTTAGTAAGGTAAAAAGCAAAAAGGCCTCTCAGACGTTCTTCCGTTTACTTGTTTAATAAAGAAAAACAAATGGACGGTAGATACACGGATTCTGTACGTACCTCTCTCTGCACAGTTGGCTTACACATGTCCAGCAGTTTCTCTATATCCGACATCAGCAACTGAGCCTTTGACAACACTGCAATCAATGGCATTGACAAAAAAACAAAGCAGTCCCCATTACTACTCTCCTTATTTTTGGTAAACACTTCTACAGACATTTGTTTTTTTTAAGTCATGCTACTTGTAGTGTGTGTTGGTTTGAGCTGGAAAGGATATAATTAGAAAAAATTGTATTCTGAATGAAAACGTTGAATAAATCTAAACTAGTGTGAGACAAAGTCCTCAGAAAGTGAGTAAAGCAAAGTTCTATTAAGGGGAAATGTTCTTGTCTTACACTGACGAGTCCCAGATGCCTCTTCACATGGCATTTTTCTGATCTTCATTTTTCTGATCTTCGGTGTGTATGGCACAAGACTGACTGCTTTGCACTATTAAGTAAAACATAGAGCGCATTTAGAAATCAATCGGCAACACAATGAATATAGAAAAATATACATTTTATTACTATTGACAATACACTCTCCAGAAAGGTTTACTTTTGAAGCACATGCACTTTAGCATGGCTTGTTTTTTCTTTAAACGTTTAGCGCTGTTTAAGTGACACCACTAACATCTTATAGCACATGTTGGCAAAAGGAGATTTTTTACATTAACAAATAAATAACCAGTTATATTGGTAAATGTAACAATGTTTTAGTTGGTATAATCTATTCAGATTCAATTCGTGAGAAGGCAGAAGTGGTAAAGAGGCCAACTGACACTTTATCAGCATGATTTAAAAAAGTGATTTAAATATAAGCAAGGCAACGTAAATGAAACGTAAAAAAATTATATGAAATGTAATCTATCCATCATTTTTTATTTTGGCATTTAGCTCATTAGCTAGCTACTAGCCACGTAGCTACATCGCTAATCGCTATAAATTAGTCAGTATCAGTGGGTAACCAACCACACCTTAAATTATCAATGAAACAAAGATTGACTAACGTTAAGGGCTTGCTTTTGTTCAGGGCAGTACATTATTTAATGTAACTGAACATTTATTTTTTACTGGTAGGCCTACTTACTCGTCGATACTTTGTTGACTCCATCACGTTAGTTTTGGAAAATATGTAATGTTGTTAATATACCCTCGTGACATGAGAAAGAGATGGGAGAAGATTGAAACCTCAATATATCTACGCGTGACCGGAAGTTAGGACCCGTTGAAGTTTACCGAAGTGACGTTACAACAATAAAATGTAATAATTGATAGTTGTTTGAATTAGCCTCCCTCTCCGAAGAGGAAGATATTTACTGTAATGCCACGGCCTTTGTACAAAAACTGAGGGAAATACTTCACTTAAGTCTGAAAGCATTTTTCTTTCAGTCAAATCAAGTTTTTTTTACTATCCAACATGTTAAATGGCGTAATTCAATTATCTTCATCCTCAACGTGCATAAAGTAGTATGTGAGTAGTATGTAAGTACATGCGATCACAAGAATATTCGCTTATATAATCCCTAATGATGCACTCACTTCTATTTTTGTCTTGCGTTTATTTTGAAAGGACTTTAGCAGTCAAGTGACTCCCGGAAGTTTTTGTTTCCTCACCTGTCAGTTCTGACACGGTGCGAGAGTCCAGCCTTGTCTCTTTGTTTTTCTCCGAGAAACAGGTCTTCTTTTTTCCAGAATAAATGATAATCTTGTGTGTGCCACTGACACCTAACTGAGGACATAATTTAACACGGTAAGCGGGAGTTGAGGGGGAACAATAATCGACTGCTTTGGATTCACCTAGCCACAAATAGCCAGAAGACGTTAGCTCAGAGCTAGCTTACTGTTATCATCAACAGATCGATCATTTTAATTCTGGACATTATGTACACAACTTTCATGTTTCCCTTGGTCATTGTGTGCTTTGTTCTATTCATCCTGAACGTCATTGTAAAACTGACCCCGATGTGTTTTATCGGTGGTCAACACAGCTCACGGAAGCTAACACCACAACGTTAGCATCGTATACAAACGATTCAATGAGTGTTTACATCCCAACAATGGCTTTCCCATGCCTCTGGAAACGAAATAAGGTGTCTGCATAGCTGAAATGACTTTGTTAGCTGTTAGCTCTCATAATTTATCAAGAATTGTCGAACGAGATGGTGTTGCTATTCGTGCCTCATTCTAGATTTACGTTGACTTTCGGTTTAACTTTCGATTTCATAGCATGTTCTGAAGTCGTCATTTAAAGTCAGCAGCTCTGCCTTTGTGGGTTTTTGTTCATATGTTTTTGTTCCGTGGCATTAATCTTAGAGCATGTCCAGGTATTGTCTTTTTCTTTTTTTATATAAAAAGCTACGAGCTTAAGTGTTAAAAACTTGGCTCATGATTGTTTGCTGCATCATCGCATGGTGACATCATCAACTAGCTGCCCGTGTGCTGACCAGCTCCTAAAAACAGATGATCAGATCAGGTATGGTTTGGGATTTATGTTAAGTCTGTTTCAGGTAGCTGTCTGTCTGGACTGCTCCTTCGTGTGGTCAATAGGTGTTGATCACAGGCCTGTGACAACAGGTCACTGTGAGACCCTCCACTCCCTCATCAAAGAAAAACAATTCTTAAAGTAATTTGTTTTTTTATATGTACAGAATTTCGTTATTATAGGACAAGCAAATATGGAGCTTTTCCATTTCGCCATAAGTACTGTAAACAGATTTGTCCCAATTATTACATCATTATATTATTTAGATATTTGCACACATTTTACAAATGAAAACATTACAAAAAAAGTGGAAGGGAATAAACTGTTGTCATAAGACACAAGACTAATGTTTGGTGACTGTTTAGTCAACTTTGCACCTGACATATATTTGATTATAAAGTGGGCCTGATGATGGTGCCACGGTGTTCATCCATAATGCACCCTGATGCTGTTTGAGGCCTGTGTTAATTACTCGAGGCACACCTAGAATAAACTCTAGGCCTGTTCTTAACTCTTGCATGAAGTAATAATGGAACAAAACACCTATTGATAAAACATTTGAGCCGCCAAAAATGCAATACATTAAAAAAACGATGTACTGTATCATTAGTACAACTTGAGTAAAAAGGTATTTAATTTGTTTAAACCCATTAAATGTAGGCTGAAACCCCTGCCTATACATTTCTTTTAAAATCCAGACTACACAACACATCTGAAATGCTTTAGCTTTAAGCATTGTGCTCTACTTCTTGTTTAGCTACCTTTACACTTCATTTAATTTCCAAGCTAAACAAGGTTTAAAAATCTTGCTACATCAAACAAAATCAAATCTGATAGCATTTGTTTTTTTCTGCTCAGGAAGCTATTTTCTTTTAAAAAACAGGAAGTGATGCATTGTACATTTCCTGCAGCAAGAGATCAACTGAAAAAAGTCTGAGCAATGGGACACTGTTTTATTGTAGAGTGATCTGTGGGATATGTAGTACAAAAAAGCCAGCTATACTCAAACATGTCACAATAATGTGCAGAGACTAGGTAGTTACAACGCTACTTAGTACTAAGCTAATGTATTGTAAACACAACACAAGGCCAATCATGGTGTTGGCTTTCACAGACATCTAGCACTTTCTAAATAAAACCCTTATTGTATCCCCTAGGTCTTCTTTCTGCTACAGAGTAGGCCTGTGCAGGCATGGAGCCCCTGGCAGTGGATGATGACATTTGCATCCTTAAACACGAGACGGCCTACACCGCTGCTGGCGAGAGTCCTGTATCTGTGTGTCCCGGTGATGAGTCTGTCGCCTCCCACTTCGCCCTGGTCACGGCCTACGAGGACATCAAGAAGAGGCTGAGGGACACAGAGCGAGAGAATACACTGCTGAGGAAGAGGGTGAAGCAGCTGGAGGATAAGGTATAGATTTAGACCAAATAAGTGATGGTGGGAGGGAGGCAATGAGAAAAAATATTGAGGTTTAGAAAGGGTTTTCTATCGAATACGATGAATGAAATATTCCTTTTTCTTTTAATGATAGACTAACTCCAAAATGCTCTGAGAAAGTTTAGAAAAAGTCAGTAGATTCAACTGCAAAAGAACTCGCCCCTGGGAGAGTCTGCATGCCAGCATCATTAATATTGTTGGCCTCCAGTCAAAGCTATAAAACAATGAGTAATAAATCAGTTCTTTCTAAAAACAGGGAGGGGGTCTGGATGAGTGCGGTATTGCCAAAAAGTTGGATTTCGATAAACAAAGGAGTACAATACAAAGAGAGCTATTTCAACAGGATGGGTCTTAATACAGATGGTAGGCTGAAGTGAAAATACTGCACATCATGTCGGCAGAGATCCTCTCTGGAAGTGTCTCGTTTGTTTTTATCGGTTTAGGTTTTATCTGCTGCAGCATTTTGGTCCATCGAGATAGGATGTGGTGGGAGGAGAGTAACCTCCAACCGCAGATATGTGCATTTAATGAAATGGATCTGTTCTCTGTGTATCTTATCTATCTCCGCTGTAGCTCTTCAGGCCGGAGGCTCCTCCATCCGAGGGTCCTCAGTACGTGAATAAGGCCTTCAGTGCTTACCGGGGTATCTACATAGAGAAGGAGGACCTGCAGCTGGAGCTGAACAAACTGGTGCGTTTACTGATTCATTTTTCCTCCAACTGGCTAGAGCCTGGCACAAAGTATGTTACGTAACTGCGAGCAATGCACATTTTAAAGTACGGATTATAAGTATTTTTGCTGTAACTTTGATTTAAGTAGGAACAGCAAGTTTATGATATGACACGAATATGCTGTTTCCCGGCGCCATGAGAGAATGAGAGTTTGGTGCATGGATATGAATGCTGACTCTCATCATGTTCCTCCCTCTATAACTCACTGTCTCCTCTGTTTCTCTGTCAGAAAAAGGAGAAGAGTGAGAGTGAGAGGCTGTTGACGGAGCAGCTGCAGGCCAGAGAGTTGGAGCTGCTGCAGCTGAGGACGGAGATGGAGACCAGCCAAGGTACAGGTAGAGCTCACAGGGTGGATTTCTACTCATACAACAGCACTACTTTAGACTGTATGAACAATAGGACTGTGTGTTATGCTCGGATTAAGTATTTGCGGTAGTATTTCACATTGGCTTCCTGTGTGTTTGGAAACTACTTTTAATGTATGTAAGATGTGTTTTTAGTTAGTGAGATGATATCTACATGTAAACTATGAGTTGTAATATTTTGATACTGAGATGTGTAGGGCAAAGCTATACTAGGCTACTATGTCAAATCTGAAGAACTACTACTACTACTTGTATTTTACCTGAGTGTTTGCGTTTTACATTGCTTAGTAATTCCGATACGCTACATTTAAGATACGTTTTTTACTTTATTCATTTGACAGCTAGAATGTAGTTACTATGGGGACTTTTAAATCAATTGACATATACAATATTGACACACTTAGCACATTTTGATTGCAGGGCTTTTACTTGTTTAACACAGTTGTAGTTCTACTTTTAAACAACAGTACACTTCTTTCAAAACTGGGTTAAACCTTTATTAGCTTTAAACATTCAAGTGGATTGCTCTGTATTTTACTGCCTTGCCTTTCACAGTTCAATAGCTCTCTTTCCTTGTTTGTGTGCAGTGATGAAGAGCCTGAACAGCCCTCAGGACTACTGGCAGGTGGACAGGGCCAGCACCGAGATGAAGATCCACAAACTGCAGGAGGAGCTGGAGAAGGTGACGCTGGAAAACAGCAGACTGCTGGAGACAAGTGGGGTAAGTGATGAGGGAAATGCTTTTGAAAAAAGTGCAACATACCCTCCTGCAATTCATGATTTATCTCTCACAATTGGCATACAGTACCAGCTACCTCTATCTCAATCAATCTCAATCTCAATCTTTGTTTATTTATATAGCACATTTAAAACAACCTTCAGTTGACCAAAGTGCTGTACAGGCAATAACTACAATATGAAATAACACAATGGGAGTACAATAATAAAACAATAAGTACAAACATAATAAAAAGCACAATAACTAGAAACGTATAAAAAATTAAAAAAACACATACAAATATAAAAATCTAATGTTCAACTAGTATTAACTAGTACCTCTATGATTCTATATGGTCTCCTTTTTTTTTAAAGCAAATATACTGCTACTTTTTTACCATGGTGTACTTATATGCTATTTA